ATAAAATAGCATAGAAACTGCCTCTAGTCAATTTTTGAGTTAATAAGCACAAGCAATCATGAGTCAGTTATGAATCACTGTCAATAAAAATGAAAAGCAAAAACATTGAATGGAATAGCACACAGAAATGTTAAAATCAAAAAAGAAAATGTGAAAGTGCTTGGAAAATTATTTTTTATGATAACTATCATAGTGCCTTACACATTTTTTGCCATGGAGTTTAGCGGCATATCAAGATAATACACCAAATAACTGTAAACAGAGAAAACCCCTTTCTGTGGATTATTAGCTGTGTGGCCTTGGAAAATATTTGCCTTTATGAGTCTCAGTTTTCTCATATTTAAAATATGAATAATATGAAGGGTTGTTCAGAAGATTAAATGAACTCACATATAAAGCCAGAGACAAAATAATATGCAGTAATTGTTATTTTTGATGCTCCAGTAATATTCTCTATATATATTATCAACATAAGTATAAACATACATATGTTTATACATCTGTATAGATAGACAATTCACAGATCATTCAGGGAAGAACAACCAATTCTCAATTTACTAGAAAAATCAGAGGCAATTAAAGACTTAGTAGGTCCAAATTGTCTTAGCTCATTGAGAACATGGTAGATACACACATGGACAGGACATTAGCTCATTAGACTCACAAACTCTTTCAAAAAATTGAACAGCAGGAAACACTCCCAAACTCATTTAAGAGGCCAGCATTACCCTGATATCAGAGCCAGATAAGGACACTACACTAAAAGAAAATTACCGAACAATATTCCTGATAAACACAGATGCAAAAATTCTCAACAAAATATTAGCAGAATGAATTAGACAACACATTAAAAGGATCATACAACACGATCAAGCAGGATTTATCCCTGGGATGCAAGGATGGTTCAAGATACAAGTATGCCAATCAATAAATGTGATCCACCACATTAATAGAATTAAAGGCAAAAATTGTATGATCTTTTCTATAGATGCAGGAAAAGAATTGGACAAAATTCAACATCCTTTCATGACAAAAACTCTCTACAAAATGAATACAGAAGAAATATACCTCAACATGATAAAGGTCATATATGCCAAAATATAGAAACAACCTAAGTGTCCGTCTACAGATGAATGGATAAAGAAGATGTGTGAGATACACACACACACACACACACACAACACACACACACACACACGAATATTATTCAGCTATGAGAAGGAATTCCTGCTAATTGCAACAACATGGACGGAACTTGAAGGCATTATGATAAGTGAAATGTCAGACAGAAAGACAAATGCTGTATACTATCACTTATATGTGAAATTAAAAACAACTGAACTTGTAGAAACAGCGCATATTATGATGATTACAAGGGGATGGGGAATGGGGAAAAAGAAGAGATGTTGGTTAGAGGATGTAAACTTCCAGTTAGAAGATGAGTAAATTCTGGGACTCAAATGCACAGTACTGTGATTACAGTCAGCAATAATATATTATATATACTTGAAAGTTGTTAAGAGAGCAAATCTTAAACGTACTCACCACTAAAAAGTAATGCTAATTATATGACATGACAGAGAGAGTAGCCAATGTTACAGTGGTAATCATTTCCCAATATATAAATGTATTAAATTAACACAGTGCGTATCTTAAACTTACATAATGTTAGATGTACATGATATCTCAATAAAGTTGGAAACAAAAAGACTAGTATACATACAAGGCCTGCTTAAGATATATCAACAGATCACAAAATAGGAATTATAAGCAAAAACTTTCAAATTGGCATTATGTAGTCTTCAATTGAGAAGAGTGTAGAATAGTTTAGAGAAAAGTAATACAATGGCTACAGTAAAGCAGAGTTACCATACAGAAGATTCAGAGCAGTGTTTTTAATGGAATGAGCTATTTCCACCCTGTTCTTTTAGGCAGTAGAGCACTGTCATAGAGGAAGGGCTCTGGAGTCAGGCCTGTCTCTGAATCCTTGCTTCACTCTGTAACCATGAGTAAATTACTTAATATCTTTATGCCTTAGTTTCCTCACTGAACAATACAAATAATGGTACTTACCTTCTGGGTGAATTAGATGAGATAATGAAAGATTAAATGAGATAAAGCAGATCAATGACTGACACATAAATGTTAGCTGTTGTCACTTAAGCTATTTTTACTTAAAAATGTCTTTTTTACAGTTTCAGGCAAAATACAGAAGACTTAGTAAGCATAAGCTGTAGACATATACTAAAGATAATATATAATATACAACCCATTGAAGCCAATCTAGATTTTTTTAGAATAGGAATATAAATTATTATAATTTTTATTAAGAAATATAAATAATTATTATTTTGCTCATCTTAAATGGTATTTCCTTAATAAAATTTGGTCATTGGGGCAAATATTGAAAATAATGTTGATCAATTGGAGTTTAGCAGTTCTCATACAGCATCAGAAGCAATTACTCACTTAGTTTTCTTTCCCTACCTTAAACATTGTCTGCTAAATGAATTGCTTATGGTAGGTGCTCAATAAAGCTAAACTAAATTGATTTTCAGGTAGCCCACTCAAAGAATACTGCTTGAAATTTCTTTTACGAGTGACAAGCATTTAATTCTACACTTTCAAAAAAGGTCCAATATGAATAGTGGTTGAGAACACAGGTCTTGGAGACTTAAAGACCTCTATACGAATCCTGACTCAGGGTAAATTAATCTAAGCTTCCTTGTTTGTTTATGAAATTAAGATAATAAGGAGGTACTTAGCATGGTGCCTGACATATGGAACACATTCATTTAACAAGTCATTTATGCCAAAGTTCAGATAAAAGAGTTTGAGAAAGATCAGTGCACCTGGACTTGGGAAAAATGTTTCAAATCTTGGTGTTAAAGACACACGTAGTTTTCTCTCACGAATGGGAAAACACCTCAATATCAGTTCTAAAGACTCCATAGCAACTTACACATATTTTCAACCATATGGATCTTTTCTTCTGTTATAAACTATATTTAGCACATATAAAACTTTCATATTGAAAACACTTTATAAGTAAGCAGGAAATTTTTTAGAGGATATAAAAATTTGAGAAAATAAGTACACTCATGTAACGCATTTAAAATTTATGCATTAACAATTAAAACGAAAGTCTTTTAGCTTTGAGCAAAATTGTAATGTTCCTAAATTAACCCACTTTGTGTTTTGCCATACATAAAATTGGCTGATGCAGCTCTGCTCTGTGATGTGACACAGCTTCTGGAGGAAAATAAAATTTTTAGAAGAAAACATTTAAATTATTTGAAAATTCATATATCAGAGTAATTTGGTATTCTTGCAATTTATTAAGGATGGTAAGTAAAAATATAGGGAGCTATGGAAATTTTTATGAAGTGATCATAAATTCAAAGATAATTCACCAATAACTTTTAAATACTTAAAAAAATATGGTTTTATGAACTGATTTAGAAATATACCTCAGAGTTTTATGCAAAAACACGACTAATTATAAGTTTCAAAATAATTATATATTTTTATTTTTATTTTTCTCCACTGGTGGAAAATTAAAATGGCAGGAAATAGTTTATATCACAATAGTTTCTTTCTGTTTTCTTTTTTCTTTTGAATAAAATTAGAGATTTTCAAATCATCTTTTATTTACATAAATTTACAGAATATTAGAGGAGGTTTTAAAATCAGCTGTAGTTAAATGCTATGCCTCCATAACCAATTAGAATATAGAATTTTACAATTAGTATTTTATAATAGCTGTTTGGAATTGGCTGACTAAAACATTTTAATTTTAATCTTCTAATTTTAGTTAATGCAAATTTCAACAAATTTTCAACATTCTTTTTACCTAATAAATACTTCAGCTTTGGAAGATACAATGGGTTAAAAAATATACTTTTCCATTTTTTATATATATATATATATATATATATATATATATATATATATATATATATATATATATGTTTATATGTATATGTGTATACACACACAATTTCACTGAATAATTTATGCAACCAAAAAAACCAAAACTCCTATTGGCAATATTTTTTACTTACATTTCCATTACCTTTAATAGTTTAACACGAAAGAAAACACTTCTGTTACTATACTTACAGAAAAAGGAATGCATAAGAGAAATGTATACTGCAAAATTTCATAAGATTTATTTTCAAGTTTGCAATTAGGTTTAACCAAATAGAAAAATGTAAGAAAATTAAAGATATCAAAAGGTTTAAGTTAAACCCAACAGAAATTTTAAAGAATCACTAACCCAAAGCATGCACTGCTCCTCTATGCCTGCTGGAGCTCTTGCTTGTTTTAATCACACGGGCAGCACTTTCTTTGAACTGCAGCTCACAAAAATTTGCAAGAAATTTTGCCATTTCTTCTGTAACAGTATCCAGGTAAGTTTCTTTAATGAATTTCACTGTTGAGGATGGAGCTAAAATTTCACACAGTGTGTTAAAATCCTCTTTTATCATTGAGTATAACTTAAGCATTGTACTTTGGCATCCATGGACCATTAAGTCTAAATTTGATTCTCTGCTGTAAGAAGGAAAGCAGTTCTCCAGAAGTGTAGCCAACAGTTTATTCTGTATGTTTTGATACTTGCTTATAACTTCAGATTCTGGATAAAGAAACAAGAGCTGTTGTATGCACTGATTTTTTAACGAAATCTTTTGCTGTGAATTGTTTATTTCATTATGACTTTGTAATTTGCTCACTAAGAAGCGTCGAAGATGCAGCCTTATATCATCCCATATAGACTTTACATCCACAGAAGAATGATCTTCAACAGAATGAAGAGAGGTCCTAGAGAGCAAATGGAAAGATGGTCCACTTAGCGTTGATGGAAATGAAACACTGCTCTGGCAGGAGAGGCTCCAAAGTAAATCCAATATCATTTCTTCTTGATTTTGTTCATTCTTCAACAAATCTTGCTAATAAAAGTAAATTACAATGTTAGAAATGTGATTAACTATAAGAAAAACAAACAGGAAAAAATTATTCCTATTGTCATACACTATTTTATTATTCATTTCAAATTGGAATCAACACTCTAATGATTGATCTTCAAAAAAATTTTTTTTGAAATTTAATCAATTCAGACATTTTAGAATGTTGGTTTTATGATCTGTTAAATTTTGCAAAGTCCAGGTGACGCACTATATTTTCAATCAGATTTCTAGATATATAGTTTTTAGCCCTCATTGCTACCTACCCCTGATATAACCTAGAATGTATAAAAACTGCACCTTAAAAATTCTAAATAAAAATTTATAGTAAAACATCAATTTAAATGTATTTCTAAGACAAGATAAATTCAAGATTATACCCTAATTAATTTCTGGTAGGTAATTTTCATGCCTGAATGAGTATACTTATTATTATAGGACCCCAAATGAATATACAGAACGGAGACCTTTAAATATTGTATGTGCCTAGGGGTTACTAATAGCTGCCATCTACAGAAATACAATTTAACACATTTAAAGACTTTAACTTTCATTTAAGTTCCTTTTTGAGAGTCATGTTAAGAAAGATTTTATTTTGGAAATTAATCAGGATATTCCAGTTCTCTCCAAAGAAAAAACTATCTCAACATGAAAAAAAAACAAAATAAAAAAACTCTCTGAATCATTTCCCAAAAGATATGAAATTATTCCTTTTTACTTTCCGTGCTGACAGAAAATAATGGTAGGTGTAATTATGAATAGTAAGTAAATGGACAAAAAATTACTTTCTTTTGGACTTTGAATTTTACATGCACACATTCCACTTACATGCTGACATTCCTAATTATGTCTATTTCAACTAATACTGAAATTAGTTTATATTCTTTAGGTAGCAACAAGCTGATAAGAAAAATGGAAGCAAGGTTCAAGTGGCACAAAATCATGCTGGCTTTGAAATTTTTTACTGACATAGATACCACAGGTATTATGTGCAATTCAGAATTATGAACAACTAGACAAATACCAGGAATTTACTTTCAGTCATTCTAAGCATTGTAATGTCTAATTTTGTATTCTGTCTGTAAGAAATAATATCCAATTTCTATATAGTATTTTATTATATAGAAAGCACTTTTCCATACAGTCTCTGGCTTATGTATAATGAAAACTCTGACACAGATATTTTAAAACCCAATGCACAGATAAGGACACTAAAGTGCAGCATGTTTAAGTTACTTTCCAAACGTCACATACAACAAAGCACAGAACCCAGGATGCACCCCCGCTTCATTCTCCTTGTCCTCATTCAATCTACTACACTCTAGAGAGCCACAAAGTACATTGACCTTTCTAAAACTTCTCTCTTCTCCCTGTATTTAGTTCTTTTGCTCCTTCTGTAAAAGAAATGTCCTTAGAGTCCAGGACATCAGTAGCATAGCAAATTCTATAAAGCAAATGAGTCATATGAATGCCTCCAACTTGGGCTTCTTCAAATAAGTAACTGTAAATATTTGATCAAACAAAGTATAATAGTTTACAGAGGTTTAAAATATGTGTTTAGTATGATGGGTAAATTTTGAAAATAACTTCAGGATAACTGCTGAAATGAGAACCTCGATTGTTTGTTTGTTTGTTTATTTAATTTAAACAGCTAAAGAATTAAAAAATAGAAAATATTGTATGGAAAAAAATAGATGTATGAAAAATGCTGTCAAGATTGATAATTTTAGCCTGTAAAAACTTGATAATAAGGTCATTTTAATCTAGACCTGTTTTAATAATGTGGTTCTTTCCTCAAAATAACATGATCAATGATGTAAAAAACCTAGGTCTCAAACAAGCCTATCAGCCTAATGAATTTGAGCAAAACTAAGGTGGCCTTTGCCTTGCAGTGAATAGAGAATGACCTACGTGTGACAGATTAAAAGATAATTAAAAGCTTTTGCTTTTAATTAAATGAGAAAGCATTATTACATCAATATTAATGAAATTCAATACACATGGCTCTTAATAGAAATTAAACGAATAACTATATCCATATTTATTCTTCAAGGCTCCACCTTCAAGAGATAATGGGTGAGAGGATTTTCTTGAAAGAATAAGGCTTCAGGGCACAGAGTCTTCCTTTCTCGTCCTTCTTTTACTTTGTAAACATTAAAGAGACATCTGCAATAATAACAGCCCAAAACTATTTTCATCTGATTCTGTCATCCTGAGCCATCTACGACCTCAAAATATTTTCCACATCTGCCTTAGTCAATGTTTGATGTTTAGACAAAAACGGTGCCTTTTTTCCCTAAATTAAATCAAAACCATAACTACAGAAATACTGCTTTCTAACACTTGTGCTGTTTCTCTGGGAAACTATTTTTGCAACCTAACCATCATTGCAGATAGAGGAGTAATGAAATAACCGTTCTTATTGAAGGCTACAAAAACTTACTTAACATAGAGGGTGGTTAGTATCAAGAAATGACCAATGTAATAATTCCCCATCAATTAACATTGGTTTCGTATAAATTGCAGCCATGATTGAAAAGAGCTAGACATGCCTGCAGGCTGGGGAGGAAGGGAATGATAGACAAGGCTACTTAATAGATACAATCGATAGTGATCTTATTGCGCTTAATAATGAGCACAGAGGAAAATGAGGAGTTGTCAAGGGACACAAGATGTAATAAATATGAACTTTTCTGGTAGAAAATTGTGGTGCATATCAATACACTTTGCGGTATACATCACATTACAAATCACCCAGGAATTGTGTTTAATCTCCATTTATATAAAGCTTCATTGTATTGATAAACATTATAGAAAAAAAGTAAAAGCAAATAGTTCACTGGATTCCATTGGGGTTATAGAAATAAAACAAAACAGAAACTACAGCCCCTAGATATGGCAGGCTAATATAGTCACTAAAATAAATATTTACATATAGAAATTGAATGAACTGTATCCCTTGTTCACCCACCCCACTCCACTATAAAGCAAAGATTCTTTTTTATTTTTTTACCAGTGTTTTGAGAAATTTTATCAAATCTCCATGGGAAGTAGAAGGTGACTTAGATGAATTATAATTATAGTTAGTTAGCCATTCAAAACAGTCAGTTGTTGTTTGCAGCTGCACATCTGGACATTCTTTGTTAACTTCGGACTGTATTTCTTTAATGCAGTGTTCTATGCTATAAAAAAGAAAGAAAATTATTTTGGTTAAAAAGTAGGTAATAGCTTCTTCTCATAATATCATAGGCCTTGAAATGTTTATGTGGTACCCGGCAGCATACAACTTACAAAGTTATAAAACATTCATATGATATGAAAATAATAACATAGACTGCATATTTTTTTATTCATAGTTGAAACTGTAAGTTCAAATTTTCTGGAAGTTTCATTTCAAATGTAATAGAGGAAATATAAGTTAGTTACCTGCTCAGAGATAAATTAGAAATTCTTTTGTGTTGAAAAAAATCAAGCATAGATGCAATAAAGTAATGGTCCTCTTGATAGGCAATGGATAGAAGGCAGAGATAAAAATACTCTTGATGACTGAAGACTAGAAACACACATTATATACTAATAGGTAAATGACTATATAAAATTATGGAAAACTTCAATCAACGGGATAGTAAGACGTCAAAAGTATTTAGATACAAAGGGCTTGTGATTTTAAAAGTTGTAAAAGATATATGCTGTATATGTACTGCTACTACAGCTAAGTACCTTTTCCTGCCATCACACTCCACTCCAAAAAACAAAAACATATTAAAAATTGCACATAAAAAACGACTGGAAGGAAATAGAACAAAATGCAAATAGTAATTATCTTTGCACAATAAAATTTGGTGCTTTTAATTGTATTTTTCTATATTTTCTAAATTTTTAGAAGTCATAAAACTCCTCATTTACTCAATAAACAAAAGCAAACTAGAAACAGAGAAACAGGTTCAACTGAATCTTTCAATATATATGTTTTAAAAATTCCATTCAAAGTATCCTTAGCTCTGATATTAAATGGATATACTAAGTTATTTTAATTTTCATATAAAAATCTGTACATTTATGATTATAAATCCTTGTGGGGTAAACTGGTGACCTTAAGCAGAATGTCATCTGTGGAGCCACATGACATATGACATATTACTACCACCTGATGGCAGCATATTTAAACTGCAAGAAAGCTTATAAACAGGAAAATTCATTTAAAGCCGAATCCCCTCACCCAAAAGTCACAGCTATGCTTTTTTTTTGCCTTTTAATAGTATTAAGAAATATATTACTAAAAATGTTACTAGTTTAAAAAATCTCATTGCTAGTAATTATAGATTCCATGTGATAGAACCATGTAACAGGCTTTGGAAGCCAAGCTCTGATTATTAAAACTGGTGTCATATGAAAAACTTCGAAATTCATCAGGTGTGTGTTGCCTGTAAAACATACACTGTAAAACTTGAAGGAAGGCTTTTCAGGAGATTTCTGAGCATGACTGAATTCAAACTGAATTACCTTGAAACAAATACATTCTGAGATGCAAAGAGACTTTTCATGAAAACAAAGAATTTACAAGAAAAACAATACCTCCTTTGGCCACAGGCCACTCAATTTCCTGATGAGAGTTTTATTCAAGAATGCCAGCTCTAAGTCTGACACGAGATTGGCATATATTTTCTTAAGTAAGCACTGCTATAGACCAAGAAACATGATGCCCTAAGCATACACCTTGACACTAGGGACCCTTTATCAAAGGTTTTTATTATAGCATCCTCATGTGTCTCATTTAATGAAATCTAATAGATTACAGCAATGTGAATTGGAAAGGCTCAATGGTTAGTCTACCTAAATCTGTTTCAATCAGGACTCAGCTTTTCGGCTAATCTCTAACATCTGAATCTGGGTAGAAGCCAATAACTACAATTTACAAATAGGGTAAAGCCTTCAGAGGGCTTGATATTTTAGTAATTTGTCCAATACTGATAAAAGGATTGAGCAGTTACATTTCAGAGGACCTCCCTCATTGATAAAAACTGAGACAGTTGAGCTGCCTTTAAAACCATTTTGTCACAAACTTTAAAATGTCAGAACTCATTATGTGTACCTGGTTTTGTTTTTAGTTGGCTAAGTATCTTGTCATTCTGCCACTCACCACTGTCTACACATCTTGCTTTAAAAGTGCAATCATTTGAAGTCTAGAGATTTATTGCCTGATGATTATACAAAAATAATATTTTCAAAATTTAAGATGAATGTTGTTTTGGTATGTAATCTGACAACTTATCTTCCTTAATCAAAATTTAATTTTGAACATCTAAAACGTAACATAGTATTCTTATATATGATAATAATATTGCTGATGGGGATAGTAATCTTGGGTCTATCCTTAGACTTAGAATGTAGATCTTAGCCTAGGTTTTCTGAAATAACATGGTACTTGTCCTTATTTTGGTTTAAGTATTTTCTGTTTAACTGTCAGTTGCTTCAAATTTTCTTTAGAAGCAAGGTCGGTCATGAAAATACAACCAAGGTAATTTAGCAAATAGAAGTCCAATGAACACACTTTCTGTTAGATCCCAAACAATCAGCCAAAAGTGTAGAGTGTCTAAAATAGAAGTAGAATCTCTTCCCTAAATAATTTAAATATCCCAAATTTACACCATTAGTTGGTTATTGCAAGGATTTTTTAAAGTATCTTCTTAACTTTATTTGTAATATTAAAACCACTGAAAATATCCTAAATGTCCATCAACAGGAGAATGATTAGTTATATTCATCCAGTGGAACAGATCCATGAAAATAAATATAGTAGAAATACAGTTATCAACATGTATGAATCTAACGAATATAATGTTGAGAGGAAAAAAGGTACAATGAACACTACAGTATGATACTATCCATATAATAGTTTGAAAATATGCCACCCACACAACATAGTGTTCAGGATTACAAGCATTGGTGGCAAACATGTAAGGAAATGTGCTGGGATGACCAACATCACCAAATCCGGGGGGGTGGGGGTTCGGGATGGAAGTAGGGTGAGACTGGGGAGAGGTAGACAGTGAGAATTAGCAGTACCGGTAATGTTTTAGTCCTTAAACTGGGCATGGGAATGTTTATCATAGCACTCTTCATGCCTTTTCATATGTCTCAACACATTTCTTAATAAATTTGAACCCCAATGTGCTTTAATTATGACTCTGAATTACCCAAGTTCATGATGTATGCAAGTGGGTGCATTACTGAGAGGCTGTGTGTAATCAATTTATAAATCATTTTAAAAAATGCAATATGCAGGATGCTTTTTAAAAGGACACCTGTGGGGCCGGCCGAGTGGCTCAGTTGGTTAAGAGCTCGCTCAAGAGAGCAAGCTCTGAGCAACAGGGTCGCCGGTTGGATTCCCGGCCCGAGCTGAGCTGCCAACAGGTGGCAGGATGGCTCAGCTAAAAAAAGAAAAAAAAAGAAAAAAAGGATACCTATGGTAATTTTCTCATTCAACATTCACTCTTAACTTCCTTGAGTATAAAAATTACTTATTGAATTAAGACATATTAGATAAACACTAACTGAATGATGAACTTCTGTTAGGCACTGTGATCTAGGAATCCAAACATAAATAAGACATGGTCCCTTACCTGAAGGGATTGTCTAGAAAGAGAGACAGACATGTAAGTAAATAACGCTAGTGCAGTAAGACTTGATAAGAGGCCTGCATAATGTGCTAAAGAAGCACACAGGAGGGGGCCATCAATAGCACCCATGGGAGGCGTGGAAAAGGCTTCTCCTTATAAAAGAAGATTAGATGCAAGTGTATTGATGCTTTAAGAAAATTAATGGACTCACTGTACTTAGAATTCCCTGGTGCCTGAACCCTGAGAATTCAGTGTTGATCATTTAATCTTACTGCCAGGACACTTTAGAACTATATTTACTTGGATAATAAAAAAATATGAATTTATTTTTATGTTCGCAGCTACATTTATGCTCATATGTATATGTGTATGTGTATCTGCACTATCATACTTCCAAAAGGATTGAGATGTCCTACAATTAAACAGACATCACGGGCTGGCTGAGTGGAGCATTGGTTAAGAGATGGCTTGGGATGCCACAGGGCCCCGGTTCGGATCCCACATATGAGGGCCAGTGACACTGCACCCTCTACATCTAAGATGCTGAACAACAGCTCGACGTGGAGCTGGGCTGCCATGAGTCACCGGCGATGGCGTAGGCTGCAGCTCCTGTGGCAGTGGGTTGCCATGGGCTACAGTGTGTAGCCAGCAGCCAGTGTGAGCGGCCAGCAGCCACAGTGAGCGGCTGTCCAGAAGCTGGCGACTGATCTGCCTCACCCAGGAAGAGTGCAGTGTTGGTGCCAACTTGGGCCAGTGAAGCAACGTCCTTCACAACTAGACTGAAGAACAAAAGGACAGCAACTTGTCTGTTCCCATCCCCCCAATTCCCCAATAAAAATCTTTAAAAAAATAAAATAAAATAAATAAAAAAATATACAGACATCATTAAATAACAACAATAACAGAAGAGCCTACTAATATTGGGCTGTTGTAGTTGAGGACAGGAAGAGATATTGAGGAAAAGAGAAGAGAATAATTATGACATGAAATCTTGAAACTTAAGCTTATTGTAAAAACTCTTTCAAGATTTGAAACACATAGTCTTTACCATACAGCCACAAAATAGTTAAAAGAAAAAATAAGTTTTGTTCCACAGGTAAAAGTTATGAAAACTTTTTTATGTAAAGGTTGTAGAAAACCCATATGTGTGCTTTCATAGAAGGCTAGAATTTTTGTTTTTATTTTTAAATCAGGGTAGCAGAGTCATGGCAGAGATTAAAGACTATTTTTTACAGTAAGGGAAATTTTTAAAAAATCAAAGATTTTACATTTTGATGCTCTTGTTTATACTCCTTATCCACAACATAAATTCAGTCTAAGGAAAAGGTTTTTTCAATTCTATCACATGTTTAAAAGAACAAATAAATAGTTGTGAAGTAAATAGAATTTTCTGGATTTTAGTCAAGTACCACTTAACTTGGAATTAACAGGTAATTAATAGAGAAGAGGGCTGATGTAAAAAAACTAGTGTGTAATGAAACTATAAGTCATCTATGAAAGAAAAATCTAATTTTTCTGAGACATATATTTCTGAAAAAAATTTTTTTTAAAGATTGAAAAAA